AAGAATCCCATTTCGGACATCGGAAAGAACATCAAAAATATTTAGTTTCGGCTTAAATTCCAACAAAAAGCGATGTTAGTATCCTTACGATCTTCATTCCGTCTTAAGAATTTTCACGGTTTTCATTGTGCTTTCACATGTTCGTTAGTCAGCCAAGGTCAGGTTCTCAGTGGCTTCATCATTTCACAAGCTTGGATTTGCCACAAATCTGGATTTGATCCGCAATCTGCTTCAGAGGATGTAGTTTTTGGACCCAGTATCTGCCATTGGAATATGCAGGTTCCAGAAAGTATAATGCCACCTAACAAGGTCTTGCTCGATCAACTTAAGATCATGATCAATCAACACTTTTTTAGATGTAGTTTTTGTACAATTATGGGTTGGCTACGCAACATTTGTTCAGCCACCCATGGCCAAAATCTGGGTCTTCGAGTTACCCGCCTTTCGTCAAAGTTCGAAGGTTTTTGAATCAGAGTTCCGTGCTTGCGTTTTTCAAGTGTGTGTATGAGCCCTGGGACTTGGTAGTCTCATGATCTCTGTTGCACTCAGAGATTGGGTTTAATCTCCGACATATTTTGGGGATGGCAGTTGAAGGTCTACCGGCGAATAGGGGTTACCGGGTCTGCTACCCGCGCTGTGCTGTAAAGGCTTGAAATCCAAAGTTCAAATCACGGGTTCAGAAGGCCGACCAGCTCAGGCCCACGCCTCATCAGAATTTGTCACCCGCAATCTCATATCAGACTTTGGAGTGCGTGGGAATCAGAAATCCTTTTTCGGGTTTAGGGTTTGCCATTGTGTGGCAAAACCAGCTATTCTTACATGATGGCCAAAAAATGAATGTGTGGTGTGGAAAAGCCAAAACCCGCGTTCGGTCATAGGTTCTCAAACGGTTGAATAAGAGATGTTGGACCGACTCTCCCAAAACCACGAAAGCATGGGACAAACTCCAGATCTGTCAAGGAATCTCCCAAAAGCCCGCAACTTTAACAGATTATAGTTGCCGGGTGGCCGACCTTGAAGCTCAGGGATGGTTGGGTTATTGAAGTTTTCAACATCGAAGCCAAGTGACGCTCAGTACGGCAGGTCCACAGAGCCCAAATCTAATCCTGCAATCCTGTGCAATCCCAACCCTGTCCCGACGTGTTCAACGACATTCTGACGACTCTTGCTAGCCAGGACACCGGATCCTGGTGCCAACCCCTGCCCAGCTGGCGCACATCCAAGCCGTAGTGCCAGCTGCCGTCCTGTCTGGACTTTCATAGGCGTCGACCCTCGGAAGCTTGACCGGCCCACGAGGCTGCTGCCCACATGGCTCGCTGGTACTCACGGTACACCTGGCGCGAGCGCCGCTGGCAAAGATGAACCACCCCTTTTTCGCCCGGACTTCAGCAGACTACGATCAACCTCCCGCAAGCAGACTGCTAGCAGCTAACCACGCTCTTACTGCACAGAAAAGCTGATACCAGTAGCTCTCTCTGTCGGGCTGTAGGCATCGGCTTACCTCGAGTGACAGGCACAGCAGCTCTTGTACATCGCCCAGTTGCAGACCTGCTTCTCAAGCATGCAGCCGGGGTTCTTTCGAATGAAAGCGCCCAGTGAATCCTACCGGCTATGTCTAGTTCGAGATACATGTTCCAAAGTTTAATCTCCAATAAGAGGGTTTTGTGGAACGCATAAAACCGTAATGTTGGTGAGGGCTTCCCAAGCAGCCCTAACTGTTAACCCCAAGTTACGGACCACACGCCCCGCCCTCGAAGAAGTGGAGCCAAACCTTGTCAGACAATGTTAAACTTGTCTGTCAAACCCGAACCGAGACCCCATAAAAGGTGTTTGAGACTTGCGCTGTATGGCAGGGCAAACCCACGCCCGAAAACAAATAATGTTAAAACGGGCCGGAGTTCGCTTTCACTATTTTACGAGATATGCAAATGCTGGATGTGGTCCCAAAGCTGGAATTCGGTGAGGTGGGATGGAAAACCCAAAACCCCCAAAACGATGATATGCACCACGTAGTGTGAGGGTCTACATGTCGAAAGTACACATGAAACAAAATTCCAGGAGCAGCTGTTCTGCCCGCATTCCGTCGCACTTTCACAAAAGCAGTCGCTGCAGGCCTGAGGTTTGAGGCCAAGGCCATACCAACTGAAAGCAACATCGAAAATACACAAGGCCCCGATGTTATATTATCCAAAATTTAGGAAAGTAATTGAACGTTTCAGGCAACCGTTGTGAGGTCAGCAAGTTTTTCATATCAAAAACAATATGTTTGGGTAGGTTGCTTTGTGTACTTTGTGCCGAGGAGTCTGTCGTTCCAAGCCATGTCAGGTGCTCTGACTAATTAGCCATGAAATCATCTTGCAGGGGTCGCTCGTGATCGTCACCAGTTGGGAGACAACACCCTATTGCTTGCAGACACTGCTCAGCAGCGCACAGGGATTTTGCACCATGAGGAAAGATTCTGATACCTCTTCAGATATGGCGTCGACTATTGGCAGTGCACGCCGCATGGCAGTTCTGAGTGGCCACGTGATTTTGCAGCCTGCAAGGAGCAGGCTGGATGCTGTTGATGTTGCAGATGCATCTGCAGAGCTGAAGCGTGTTCGTCGACAGGGTCATTCTGTTCCTGACGCAATGAAGCAGGAAGGAAGCTCAGCGGTTGTATATTTCGAGAACCATGCTCGGAGACTGTCCCACGCTGAGAAAGTTCGGACAATGCTCCATACGATAAGCAATGGCACACTATCAACCTCGCATCATGAAACCGGATGGCCATATGGAAGCATTGTCAACTTTGCCACGGAGCCACGACCCATGTCAGATGGTGGTCCTCGCATTGTGACCTTCGTGTCACGTTTGGCAGAGCACACTGCAAATCTGCAAAAGAGTTCTCGGGCCTGCATCTTGGTGTCCGAAGTGCAGGGCAAAGGCGACCGGTTGGCGGTTGCGCGAGCCGCTCTCATGGTGGAAGCATCACAAGTCCCAAAGACGGAAGCGGCCAAGGATGCTTTCCTGTCGCTTCATCCGAATGCATCCTACGTCCATTTTGATGACTTCTTGTGCTTTGAGCTGTCAGTGAAGTCCATCCGCTACATTGGAGGTTTCGGTGAGATGTCCTGGGTGACTGGTCAGGATTTCGCTTCTGCAGAGTTTGATCCGGTTGCTGCCGATGTGAGCTCTGCCAAAAATGCCGTGGACCATTGCAACGACGACCATGCTGATGCAGTGTTGGATATGGCCAAAGCTTTTGCAGGTCTTCCACTGGCTGGCAAAGCCACAATGCTTTCCGTGGATCGTTATGGCTTCGACGTTCTTTGCCAGATGCCAGATGGCTTGAGGTCTAAATCCTAAAGCAGAGTTCAGATATGTGTGAAGCTGCAAGATCTGAAAGTATTTGCTGGCATGTCCTGCTTCTTTGCTTCTTGCTTAGTTGGAGGCGCAGCCGTGTTGAATTTGCCGAGCGATTGGACAGCGCTGCGGACTTGAGACAGGCTTGGGAGGGACATTGTGGCCCACTCAGATGTCTTTGGAGCTCGTCAGGCGATGATGAAGACTACGCAGTCAGCGAGGGACCGGCATGTTCCTGTACGCAGCATGTAACGTTTGAAGATTGTAACTATCGTGTTGGTCTTCCGTATCTTGTCGAGCTCGTTTGCCGAGGGGCTTGCACACAGCTTACAGTTGCAGGAGAAGTTGCCAAAGAACGTGTGATCCTGGACGCTTGTCCTTGGAAGGGTTTTCGGCACACACTGCTGTGCCCCGTGTTCAACAAAACAGGTGCGTGCATGTGCGTTTGTGTATGATCATGCAGATATCTATATGTGTGTATATATATATGTATATGTATATGTGCGTGTGTGTGTGTGAGTTCTGTGTTCGATGATGCACCCATCTGTAGCTGAACTTGGCTCGTACGCACAAGAGGGGTTGCTTAATTCTCAAGCTGGGCGTTCACGTGCTGCCATGTCGTGGCCTGACTGGCCTCGGCACATGCCTGCAGATGTCCCTTCCTGAAGACATTCGTTGCGATTGCGTTTGTTCCTGGGTTTCCTGATGCTCTATTCCCTGTAGGTGTTGGCGCCAGGGGCAAGATGCTCAGTGATGGCCATGAGCAAAGAATCATGCGAGCATCTCACCAAAAGTCCCTGATCTTCAGGCTTTGCACTTCTACGATGCCGTGACTGCATTTCGTGTTGGAGCCGGAGCCTTTGTCTGGTTGCTCTCGTGATCATGTTTTGTGGCATGCTTGAGCTTGCTGAGGCCACAGACCGCCAACTGCGAAACACCCTGAAGCAGCAGTTGACAGGCACGGCTTCAATGTCGAGCAAACGCAAGAAGCCTTCTGTTGCCTGAGGCGGCCTTTGGCGACGATAACCTAAACTCTGAGTGTATCACACAAGGTGATTAAGAAGCACTGTCAGAAACACTTGCTCTTCACGCAGATTTGCTATTGAAAGAGCAGGCGAAGATTTACAACTATGAAAGAGCCGGCCAGAAGCTACGTGCTTTCAACACTATAAATCTCTATATGTATTATATGCATCCAAATACACAGCAGTTATGCAAACATCTCCTCATGGCGGTAGACCTAAACAGACCTAAACTAGGGTGAGAGAAAGCCAAAGCTACAGGTTAGCAGAGGCAGCAGGCATGAAACTAGGAAGTAGACACAAACAGAACACAAATGGATGTGACGAGAGGTGGTGATGGCATTCATGCTTAATGTATGTAGGCATGTATGGGTGGATGTATCTATGTATGTATGGTATGTGCCTACATGTGAATATTATGTGTGTGCACACATGTATGCCGCATGTGTGCACAAGAATCCGTTTAATGTGCCAGCTTCTTTTGACTCCCGGCTTTCTGTGTAACTGATGTGTTTGGAAGTAACACAGTCAAGGCATTCTACGGTTTCGCAAGTTGCGGAAGCCACGAGCGAGCCAAGACACAACGGGAGTAAATGCGCATGTTGGAGCTGTTGCGGAGGCATCAAGATCGCTATGCGTCGAAAGCGGCTGCAGCCGGTCCACGCCTCGTAGCCTTGCAGGGCTTTGCAGGAAATTGCTCCGCCTAAGGAAGTCACTGCTGCTTTGGCGCAGTCTCTTGGGAGCCTGGAGTGCCTGAAGGAATTGAAGGCACAAGACCAATGTCGTTTTACATGTTATATGCAGATGCGGGCATGGAGTGACTTTGTTCCTTTGGCCAAGCACTGCTTGAGAGCCACAGCTTGAACAGGCTGACATCAGTTTCAGCTCCATCGGCGAAGACGGAGCTCGGCAGTTGGCACAGGCATCAGTTCGCAAGAAGCTGATCGAACACTAAAGACTCTCCGGACTCCTAGAGTTTAGAGAACTCGCGACTCTAGTGAGCCCAAGCATCAATAAGCCGTCAGCTGCAGTGGTGACTTCAATGTGGAGACTTCAATGTGGAGGCAGTGGGGTCTCTGCAGCGGCTGCGCAGCCTGGAGCTTCTGTTGGGAGGCTTGTGAAAACTGGATCGTGGAAGAGTGTGATGCGCTCGAAATCGACCGGCTTTTTTCGATCCGACCTGGCAGGAGCCGGGCTTGGTTATGCAGGATGTGAGAAGCTTTCCGAGGACAAACTTAGATGTGCAAGTGACCCGCCCTGTGACGATGTCGCCGGTTCCACGGCAAACTGGGCGTGCAGGAGATAAGCACACTGCAAAGCCTGGACAGATTGCGCTTCGTCTAGTTTGGATGGTTGTTCTATAGATTCGTCCGTGAAACCAAACCTGTTGTGTTGGGAGCTCTGTTTCCGGCTCCAGCTGGAAGTTAAGGAAGCTGGATCTGAGCTTGAACGACATCGGTGACACAGGGTCCAGCCCCCAAAACGCGTCGCATCGCGTGGCCGAGCGAGGACTTTTGGCTTGCGCATGACTCCATGGCCACGGCACCAGAACCCCAGAAGCGCAGGGGCGAAACGCTGCCTTTCACCAGGCTGCGAGAGGTCGCGAAGTGCGTCCGCTCGCTGCGGCAGCTCCGAGAATTGGCCGACTCCCCAGAAAGAGGCTTACTATAGATTTAGGTCTGAGTCCGGATAAGGGTTTCAAAATCTCTAGCAGTCAAGTTTAACGTGTATTCTCGCAGGAGGTTTTTGGCCATCTTCACATCATATGGGAAGCATGTCTTGGCTTTGCCTTGGTTTCCGAAAGGTCCTGGACCTGAACCGCAACCGCGTCGCGGATCCAGGTTTGGAAGCAGTAGACAAGCAGACAAGCAGTACTTGGTGTGCCTTGCATGTGCAGGAATCGGATGCTTGGCCCAAGTGGTGCCCTTGGGTTGCGGCGTAAAAACAGTGCGCTTGGGGAAACCCCGAGCAGGTATTGGAATTGCCTTCCTTGACGGACCTGGAAGTGATGCTCTTTGACAACCGAGTCGGAGAGGCGCGCCACCGCCAGTGCACCGAGCACGACTTCCCCCATTCACAGCGGTGTCGGGATAAGGGCTCGCCGGCCAACAGTCGTGGAGTTTTGTGTGTGGGGTCATCCGACATGGAAGAAGGGGCCGTGATGGCTGTGCCCAAAAGGCTTGTTTAGACCTGCAATCAAATTACTGGGTGCAGGGCCTGGTGGACGAGGAAGTCTTACCAATCCCGTGCCAAAGTGTCGAAGAAAGTGGTCTAGCTTCGCTTGCCTTTGCTTGGTTTCTGTGTACCCAAGTTAGAACTCAAGTGTCGTCGGAGAACCAGGTTCAGCAGAAGACTCACCACAGACCTGCACAAGCAACAGAATGCAACTGGACCAATGTCTGCAGTTGCGCTTTAGATTCCATGGAAGCCCGAACACCATTGTTGATCCCACAAGTAAAAAAGGCTCCGGTCTGCACGTCCCAGCATAGGGGCGAGTCAGACGGTCGAGGGCTGCCGTCGTTGAGCACCGGCACTCCGGGAACAGAGGCTGGTGCAGGGCGCAGAGACGACTGCCCTCTCTGCAGGATGGGGCTCGGCAACTGGCAGCCGCTATGCGTGGCTTGAAGTCGGCCGCACAGCTCTAGCTTTGCATTTGCGTGGGTTTTGGGACCTTTTACCCACCTCAGGATGTAGACGCAGGCATGTGTGTTTTGAGACGAGGGGCCAATTGCTCCTTGTGCTTTTCTGAGATTGTCTCGGCTTGTCCTGGGGCTCAACAGAAATGCGGTCGCAAGCTTGGGCATGTCGGAAGCCAGTGCTACTACTTGTAGTAGTCAGCTGCTCGACGGGCGAGAGCTTAAGGTGTCTGAAGCTGGCGTGCAGGCTGGGGCTTTGACAGGGATTCTGAAGTTTGGGATACTCGATGGAGCTCCAGTCAGGACATTGCTCATGCAGTGACTTCACAGAAACTTCGTGACCTTGAGCCACATGCCCAGTGCTGCGTGACGCCTCTGATTCCCGAGACGTCGGCGCTCATATCTTATTGAGGCTGGATCTGAGTGTCAGCAGTGTGGGCTGGCCAGGCAGGGAGGCCGCCTGATGCCTGTTGGGCCTCCTGATCCTGTTTCCGAGGCGCTCATGACCTTGGAATGGCGATCTCTTCCTTGGAGGCTTCCCGTGCAGTTTGAATGGTCTTGGGTGGACGGATTGAAGTCTTGGCCACCTTCTGTCGTGCAGGGGCTTCAACATTTGACCCTCGACCTGAACGTGAATCATGTAGGCCTGCCCTTGTTTTTGTGCTTGCTGGAATATTTCGAAAGTTGGTTGTGTGGCAGTGTCACTCCGCAAGAATGCTGGCACTCTCGGTCGCAGGTTCTGCAGGGGCGCGACTCCTAGCACAGGCGAGGCCTCAAACATGTGCCGAATCCTCAGAGCAAGCCATGGCTGCTTCCTCCCTGCGAAGGCAATCTCAGCGCAACAAGCTTTGGTTGCTTCCTCAGTAAGATCTGAGTGCAGTCGCAATGCAAACAAAGGGATGGGTCGTGCTTTTTGTTATCGTGTCGGCTAAATGCAGTCGGTGCTTCAGGTCAGCCTGCGTTTCCTGGCGTCTGGGAACCGCATGCGCGAAGTAGGTGCCCGCGAATTATCGCAGGCACCGCATACTGGAAACACAGCTTTCTCGTACTTGTCAGCTGTCGTTCATGAAGGTCTGGCTTGAGTAGATGTGGCTGTAGCAGGCTTTGACGTCGCTGCGCCGCCTAGCCAGCTGCCTGCACATTGTTCGCTTGCAATAGTCCTGTTGCACACAGTCACACCTGGCAGGCATTCATAGTTTTTGGCTATGTGCTTCGGGCAAGAAGAAAACAACTGCAAAAATTGCACGACAATTCCCCTCGAGCTCGCGTAAGCTTTATATGACGCTTGACGACGTGACCACCAAGGTCAGCTTGGAAATGGATGTCAGCGGCAATGGTATAGGTCCGAAGCTCTCGGCCAGCGTGTGCAGAGCCCACTCGTGCGGCTACAGCGCTTGGAGATTCAGAGGTGATACGGGTGCGTGCGACCTGGCACGTGCCATGGGTTCATTGGGAAAACTTTGCAGGCTGCAGATGGTTGCAGTTCTGACTTTCTGGCTGTGCCCTTTGCTGGCGCTTGAGCAGGCTCGTGGCAGACCTGCGGGGAAATCTCGTCGGGGACCACGGAGAGCGTGAGCTCGCGCGGGCCGTTGGCGCCCTGGCCCTGGCGCTCTCCACGTGTGCTTCAGGCTCCACGTGGTGTGCTCCTTACTTACGTAGCATGAGTTGAGGACTTGTCCAAGCTTGAGCGGCTGGAGCTGCGTCTGGCCGGAAATGGACGGACGGGGGCTGGGCCCTGGCACCACGAGCTGAAGAATGCAGCGCCTTGAAAGCAATCCACGTGCTGTGCAGACGCCAAGAGTCTAGTACAGACGTGCTTGCACTGAGGTGCAGAAGCTGCAGACCGGTGGCTGCATTTGTGACTTCTCATACTAATCCAGTGCCTTCGTGCCATCAAACATCTAATGCAGGCTTGCCAATCTTGAGAAGGCCCTTGGCAAAAGCCATCAGGCCCTTGTACAAAATCTTCTGTGTGCAGCGGACATGGATGATTCCGACTAGATAGATAGTACTGACACTGACAGTGAAGTGCATGGGAACAAGTCTTGCGTGAATCTTCCATCTCCGACCTTTCGTAGGCCTGTACAGATGCAGAGCAGAGGGATCCAAGCTCCTTTGTACTGCATGGATCCGATCTAAACTCATGCTTTGCAACGCAACTTGCTTTGCGCATACAGCGCTGTCACGAGGCTTGTGAATATCTTGCTGTTGGTTGCTGCCCTCGACAGAGTGTTGAGGAGAGTGTCAGGACTAGTTTTCTCCTGCTCAGGAGAGTGTCTGTTAATTAACCAAAGGTAATTAAAGAGTGTCGGTTAGTTAATCACAGGTAAAGATGTGAGATATGTTCAAGCCTCCTTGATGCAGATGCCACCAGCCCCTCTGCTGCCGGCACTGTTGAATTAAGGGCAGCCTGCTCAGCCATCAAACAGGTGGTGATACTCAAGCTGAGGTGCCGCGAGAAGAATCCCTTTGTGGAGATAAAAAGCCACCTCCCCCTCACAAAACCAAGAAGTTCCAAGATGCAGCTTTCGTTTTCGCTTTGCGACCTCTCTCTACAGAAAGGGTTGGTGTTTCCTTTCTACATTGAACGCCCTTGGTTCAGAGGAGCTCTCTTTCGGGCGCATGTAGGAGAACAAGACCAGACAGGGCTGCGCGAGGGTTTGTCTCGCCTCCCCTGCGGCGGCAGCAGCGGCAGCGGCGGCGCGGCGTGCGTCGCTTGGGCCTCGGGCCTCGCCTCTGGCAGGAACCTCCTGGTCCAGACATTTTATCTGGAGCTTTGAAAGGCCCAGCATGGCAATGAACCCGGCCAGCGTGTCGCAGCTGCTCGAAGACATGGAAAACTGGGACAAGGCCATCAGGGCCTCTTGCGTTTGCCAAGAACAAGCGAGATCATCTTTGGATCCACTGCAGGACAAGCGGTTCATGGCCGCCTCAGACTTGACACAGGAGGTGACTATGTCCAATCAGGCCGGGTCTGGGACGAAGGTAGAAACTAGTTGTGGTTCATGCTGGGAAGAAGAGCCCCCTGAAACTTGCTACAGTGTGTCATGGTTTTCCTTGCTGTTCGAAGTCCTGCGTGCAATCTGTGTGCAATGTCGTGGTATGCAAGGCAGATGCTCAAACTTTTCGTTCGGGACTGGGCAAAGCACGAACCGTGTCACTGCTTGGCTGGCTTGGCTCACAGAATGGTCGGAATCCGGAGTCACCAGAAAAGCTCTGGCTCGGATACCACATGGTTTGGTAATTGTGTTCTCGGTCGCAGTCCGCCCCTGCTCTAGCTTCTCATGCGTCCCTGCTGTGTTTTTCTGAGCGCATGCATGCCGAGTTGACATATCACGAGTCTCCAGAGCCAGGATTTGCAGGCACCGGATTTCATTTCAGCAGTGCTCGGTGCCCTCTGGCAAGGTGCTGGACGTGCATCTCCAGAAGAGGGTATGTCAAGCTTTTGTCAAGCAGCTGGAGGCCACAACAGCTTATTCCAACATGCAGTTTAAACCCGTCGGCGTGTTTATGTTGTGGCCAGGACCAGAGCATCGACGTGCAGGGGAATGCCGTGCCTGGACATCATCTACAGTCGCTGCACTTCATTAGATTAGATCAGTATGTCTTTCAAAACTGTGCAAGGTGAAGTGCCTGGCCAAGATAGTATGCAAGTTCCAGGAGCAGCAAATCGGAGAGGCACCTTCGCGAGAGCCATGCGAATCTTGTGCTTTTTTGTCGAATCTCCAGCTGTCCAGAGGTGCTGGCGAAACTTAGCCAGCAAGTTCTGGATGGCAAGGCTGAGGTGGGAATGCGTTCGAAAGCAGATGACTTGAGGAATTCTCCGCCTTGTAAAGCTCAGGTTCGGGATATCTATGCGACATGCTTGAAGGGCTTGTTGTCCGAGCTGTTCCTTGGCCGCGATTCCTGTCGAGGGGAAACATGTCGGACTGATTTGCACTCAGTTCCGATCAGGCCGGCCTCTTGCAGTGCTCTCGCCTGCCAAAATGCCTGGTCCCCACAACATCCGAGAAGTGCTCAGTTCTCGAAAGCACTTCTCGAGGTCCTGCCAAAGATGTTGCACGGCATCACATCCATTCCTTCACTAGAGGCAGCGCCACCCAGCTGGACTGCTTCAAGTTGCGCTCACGGTCATTTTTGGCACCTGGAGGTCAAGGAAGAGTGTACAGACGTCTTCCATGATTTCTTGAAGAGATTCGGTGCCGGCCCTGGCAGACTGACTTAGACTGCTTATGAATGCCTGCAAGTCCTATCACAACCAAGCCTCGTCGCCTTGTCTGAAGAAGGCTCGTCAGAGCTTAGTGGCAGTAGTACATTGGCAAGGCCAGCATTTAGAAAAGCAATAGCAATGGATGGTGATGCTGCTATGACATCTTGTCGATCCGGCAGGTTGTACCAGGTCGCTTAATAGAGTAAGGTGCAAAGTCGTTGCTGGTCATCAGCCGGTTGAATATCGCTGCGTTGAGCCACGCTTCAGCATTACTAGTACTATCTATTCTCATCTGCCGGCTAAGGGCCGCCCATCGTAGTTCACCAGCACAGAGCAAAATAGATCAAGGAAGTAATCAACTCAGAGGAGCCTTTTGCTTTATTCCCAGTTTACGATCGGTGGCCTTGGCAACATGCGACAATTCACAAATATCAAATTGCTCCTGACTGGACTTGCACCAGCCGATAGTAGGGTCATCGTGCGGGGGGCCCCAAACGACACCACGAATGCGGGGCAGCACGGGCCGTTTGTGCGGTTTCGCAGTGCGCGAAAGAGAACACGGACCCACAGCACCAACAGACTCTGCGCTGCGGATTGCATACTAGTTATGGTGCTCAAATCGTGTTCGAGTTGCTTGAACCCTAACAACTCTAATTTGAAGGCTAATATTGAGTAACATCCTTGGGTGCTAAGTTTTATGGAGCCATGTAGCTGGTCTTTCAATATCAAAGGTGAATAGCTGATAGAGTAATGCATCAAACACGTCTAGTTGCTCCTTGTTCGACGAAAGGAAAGGCAGACCACTATTCGCCTGAGAGGTGTTTAGAACTTGATGTTCACAGGCGGCCCTAAGCCCAACATCTCATGTTCATGCATTCAATATCTTGTTGGTATTGGCATATTGTTCATAGACATTTGGAGACAAGTAAATGCTCAAGCAACTCGTATGCGATGGGTGTTCAAGTTATACTCGGTCATATGTAACAGGCTTTTCACTGATTTTGAACCATCACGTAGGGTAAGCTGCACAGCCCACTCAGAGCCAAACAAAAATTCACCACTGTATTTAAATGTGACTTGTCAATGATATGTGTTGAGCATCCAGCCTTTACTTTGCCGATTACTCTTTTGGTGAGATTTGCTAAGTTGACTGAGGCGTGTTTTCTTTTAGAAGTTTGCCGTTAAGGGCTGACACATGCTTAGCTGCTTAGCGCCTTAGTGCACACATGTGCTTCACGGTCACAGATTATTTCATAGCTAAGTCTCCTATACATGTTCGTCCAATATTGGATGTTCAGTGTTGACGTATAGCTATGTCCAATTCCCATTCCAATTGGAACGAGAAGCTCTCCAAAGTTATGCCCATGCAACAGGTTTTGTTAACACAATTTTAATCAACATGTCATTGCTATAAGCTTCAGATCTACCTGACAAAATTCGGTTGATCATTCATATCAGATCGCAAAAATGCCGAGTTGTTACAGCAGTTTAGCTGATTGTTGCCCAGTGTATACACTTTGTCTGAATTAACAGTATTTCTTGGGTGCCTGGAGACATGTCCAATTCATCCCTTATGAATGTTTGGCTAGTATGTACACCCTATTTGGACTCGCATGATTCGCTGACGAACACTCGGTTCGAAGGTTCGTAATGCTTTTGTCTTGTTCGTAATGCTTTTGTCTTTTCATGAACGAAATAGCGGTAGGTACTACCTAAGAATGAATTAGGACCAAGCTTCTGCAAGGTTTTTACCCTCCTTCGTATTTCTGAAACGACTAGCTATTCCAGTAACAAAAGAGTACTAGATGTTTATGCCCATGTTTTCGTTTGTGTTATTCTGCTGTACATGCGACAAACCTGCATTCACATGTTCACTTTTCTTCGGCATTTCTGGTTGAAATTCGTTGTTGGTTTTTGCTTTGACCCATGTTTTTTTCCTGTTTTCACGTTCTTTTTGCTTTTAAGTTTGCAGGGGGCGTGGCGGTCACATCCTAGCCACGCCAACGAAGCTATGGATGTTGACTGGATGGGTTCACAGACGTGTGAGCCTGTACCTGCGAAAAGGCTGGGCCCCTGAGCCAGCGAGATTAGAAAAAGTTTCTTTTGAACAAGGCAGGTTTGCAGGTTTGAACACGACTTTCGCCTGTTTTGAAGTTTTGCACGGTTGCCACAATCTGTTTGAGCATGTCCATGAGAGTATCAGCATTGGACGATCAGAACATCCAGAAGGCCGGGTCAGTAGGAGCCTTTCCAGTTGTGTTCGGCAAGAGCTCCCTCACGAGGGCCTTGTCGCTATTCGGCGAAGTTGCCGGCCCACCGGGGTTCTTGTGTTAGCAGGTCTGGAAATCAATTCCGTTTCACAACATGTTCAAGTGGAGATCACTGAGTGGAAATCACATTTCTGGAAATCAGATCGGAGTTGCATTCTGGAGTCGCGTCTTGAGATCATTCCGGCTTGAGCTTTGCAGTCAGTTGTTGCTCTCATTTGCTGCCATGGATCGTGAACGTTCCCCCCGCCGCAATCCTTTCTGGAGCTCCTCTTTGCCTGCTTCGGTCCCACCTACCCCTGAGAGTTGGCAGCACCCTGCTCCCCGACCCGCCCCACCAGTGAACAGACCGGCAGTGCTTCAGCCACAGAATCTTACGTGGCAACCCAATCCACGCATTGCTCAGGTTATGAACATCTCGCCAACCCCTCGCATTCCAGGCCTCCCTTCCCCTCCTGCTGCAAACTCCCCGAGAGTCTTCGGCCCGATGATGCCCGCTGAGTTTTGCCAGAACCCAAATTATTTGGATTCCCGTTGTATTGCAGGCTTGAACTTGGCCCGTTGGGTAAAGAAGACTGATTGGACAGTTCGAAAGCAGATTGATGGATGTCCGACCCACATGATACCGCTTCACTCGTTGCTTTATCAAGGTTGGAATTCGTATTGGGTGCGCCATATTGCCGAAGGAAAGCCGACTTTCTTTGCAGGCTTCAAATCGATCGGTGAAGTTGTATTTTGCCATGCTCTGTTTGGAAAGTTGCGAGAGGAAGACGTTGACTTGGATGAGCTTGCCTCTATTGTGCTTGGTATCAGTGACCCAGCTTCCAAGAGCAGCGGTTCGGATTCAAAGTCGCAGGCCACACATTTGCTGGCACAGAAGGTCGTTGACTACATGCTAGGTCTGTATCCTCAGGCCTCTGTTGACACAGAGAAGGCAGCCATGGCCAATCAGATTCAGATTCTTCAACAACAACTTGCGAATTTCGAGAATGCTTCCCCCTCCCGATCTTCTAATCCAGAGGTTGCAGGTTCGAAAACGTTGCCGATTGAAGAAAGCCCCCAAGGACGTGTGCCGGAGTCTGCGCCCTCAGCTCAGAAAGTTCCGGATGGTGCCACTCGCCTTCTTCGTGGTCAGACGGCTGAGCCTAAAACCAGTCTCATGCAGGCATTCCAGAAAGGCAAACCATCCGGGAATCACGCTGAACCTTTGAGTGTCGAGCCCGATGAAGCTGAGACCCAGAGTCGCAACCCAGGCAATTCGAGTTCAGCTGCTCAGCCTGAGTATGGAACATCCTCGCATGTTGGACAAGTTGTGAAGATTGTTCTCACGGATCCCAGCAAACGTCACTTCTTGAGTCGCAGTTGGAAGGCTTGCAAGTCGGACAAAGAAGTATCGACGTGGATCGAAGGATTGACCTTGAGCAAGAACAATCGACAGAAGCTCCAAACATGGACAGCTCATGTCCAACGATGGCATGCGGACCTTCCTTCCAATGAACAGGCCGAATTGGATCAGGTTGTCGCCAATTGGGGCGTACCCATCCGTGACATTCCCAAGCTTAAGGCGAATTCTTTGCTCCGTATTCTCGCTGCCGGAACAGTTCTCGTGGCTTGACTACAGGCCATATTGGATGCCAGGGACGTGTATCGCACTGACCATCCGCCACAAGGTTGGTGGAAACGGCACCGAAGTGAAGTGGATTTGCTTCGGAATGCTCATTTATTTTTCCAAGGTCTCTACGAGACCCCTACCATGTTCGGACGACAATGCATGGACATTGTTATTTGGATCCGTGGAAAACTCCTTTTGCTTGCTTGTGAGTTCGGGCTTGTACAGTCGCCATTGACCTCTCAGCTACGTTTAAAATGCTCCAGCTACACCTGGAAATTCTTTCAGACGCAGTCGGTGATCTATTGTCGCATCTTTCTTCAGCCTGAGTTACAGAAATTCATGTATGTCGGATCATCATCCCAAACACTGGGCGACCGTGAGCGTACAAGATGGGGGAAATTCCAACAGATCAAGGCCGGCAAGTCAGTGTGCGGTGAACTGTCGTTGTTTTGGCACTATCGACGACAGAATTATCACATGGCCATTCCTCTGTTGATCATGCACGTCCCACAGGCCGATTGCTTGCACACGATTGAGCAGACATTTATCAACTTGCTACAGCCTCACCTAAATGCTCCTTGGGTTCGCTCTCTTGTCAGAGCAAAACATGCACAGCTTGCCAACTCGGATCCAGTCAGATGTGTTCGGCGATTTGTGACCTCGTGGAGAACCTTCCGACGCTTTCGACGTCGGAATTTCCAGCTCACTGGAATGACTCCTTCGGTCTTCCGGTCGACACACATTGTTCAGAACATTGTATACAGTTATCAGATTCTGTTTGACTTAGCTTCTGACGGGCTGAAGTCCTTTCTTGCCCAAAAATATCTGCGCAGCAATCGAGTTGACTCGGATTTTCTCTATAGATTATTCAGGATGGCCACTCATCTGGGTGACCCGTTCTATGAGACGATCTGCAGGTCCAGATTGAACACTGTTCTGAAATTTCGACAGTTGAGGTGCCCGACTACATGCCGCCCCCTTTCCACTCCGTTCTTGCTGCCTGAAGTTGGCTTTAAACGCTTGGTTCGTGGCATGTTGAGAGATATTCTGGATGTATCGACGGATCGATTGCTGCCGTACCACATTCCAGCGACATCGCTTGTTGCCAAAAGTCACCCTAAAATCAAGGATGTGCT